AGGTGGTGATGTCATAAGGGAGCAGCCAATGGGAGATTGGGGAGGCGGTGATGTCATAGGGCAGGTGGTGATGTCATAAGGGAGCAGCCAATGGGGGATTGGGGAGGCGGTGATGTCACAGTAGACGGTGGTGGTCCCTGTGACGTCATCACTGCCCCCCGTGACGTCATCAACGCCCCCGTGATGTCATCAAGGGCAGGGAAAGTGGGCTGGGGGTGGGAGTGACGTCATAGGGGAGGTGGTGATGTCATAGGGGAGCAGCCAATGGGGGCTTAGGCAGGCAGTGATGTCACAGGGCACGGTGGTGACGTCACAGGGGAGCGACCAATGGGGATCTTGGGGGCACTGAGGGACATTGGGGGGGTCGATGATGACGTCACAGCCCCGATGACGTCACGGATGACGTCACAGGTGCAGGCCGACGCCCTGAACCCGCCGCGGGGCCGATTTTGGGGGGGTTCGGGGCTGTTTTGGGGGGTTTTGTGACGCTGTGGGGGCACTGGGGGACACGGGGGGGTCGATGATGACATCACCAACCCCAGTGACGTCACCGTGACGTCACCGTGACGTCACAGGTGCAGATCGACGCCCTGAACCCGCAGTGGAGCTCCTCCCTGGCCCTGGGGGTCACCGGGGCCCCCCCCGGCCGCGCCCCGCTCCCGGCCTGCGCCCACGGCCTCAAGCGGCCGGCCTGGATCCTGCAGCGCCGCGGCGTCTTCCACAACGCCAGGAAGGTCAGGAACACACCCAAAATATCCCAAAATAGCCCCAAAAATATCCCCGAAATATCCCCGAAATATCCCCAAAATATCCCCAAAATATCCCCAAAATATCCCTGAAATATCCCCGAAATATCCCCAAAATATCCCCAAAATATCCCCGAAATATCCCTGAAATATCCCCGAAATATCCCCAAAATATCCCCTAAAATATCCTGAATTATCCCATCCCTGGCCTGGATCCTGCAGCGCCGCGGCGTCTTCCACAACGCCAGGAAGGTCAGAAACATACCCCAAAATATCCCAAAATAGCCCCAAAAATATCCCCGAAATATCCCCCAAATATCCCCGAAATATCCCCGAAATATCCCTGAAATATCCCCAAAATATCCCCCAAATATCCCCAAAATATCCTGAATTATCCCATCCCCGGCCTGGATCCTGCAGCGCCGCGGCGTCTTCCACAACGCCAGGAAGGTCAGAAACATACCCCAAAAACCGCCTGAAACACCCCAAAAATATCCCCAAAATATCCCCAAAATATCCCCAAAATATCCCCAAAATATCCCCAAAATACCCTCGAAATATCCCCAAAATATCCCCGAAATATCCCCAAAATATCCCTGAAATATCCCCGAAATATCCCCGAAATATCCCTAAAATATCCCTGAAATATCCCCAAAATATCCCCGAAATATCCCCAAAATATCCCCCAAATATCCCTAAAGTATCCTTGAAATATCCCCAGAATATCCCCAAAATATCCCCAATATATCCCTGAAATATCCCCAAAATATCCCCAAAATACCCTCAAAATATCCCCGAAATATCCCTAAAGTATCCTCGAAATATCCCCAGAATATCCCCAAAATATCCCCAAAATATCCCCAAAAATATCCCCAAAATATCCTGAATTATCCCATCCCCGGCCTGGATCCTGCAGCGCCGCGGCGTCTTCCACAACGCCAGGAAGGTCAGAAAAACACCCAAAATATCTGAAAAATAACCCAAAAATATCCCCAAAGTATCCCTAAAATATCCCTGAAGTATCCTCAAAATATCTCCAAAAATATCCCCTAAAATATCCCTAAAATATCTCCAAAGTATCCCCTAAAATATCCCTAAAACACCCCAAAATATCCCCACATTATCCCTGAAATAGCCCCAAAATATACCCCAAAATATCCCCAAAAATATCCTCAAAATATCCCCAAAAATATCCCCAAATAGAACTCCAAAATATTTCAAAAAATACCCCAAAAATATCCCTGAAATATCCCAAGAAATATCCTCAAAATATCCCCAAAAATAACTCTAGAACCACCCCAAAAATATCCTAAAAATATCCTAAAAATATCCCAAAAATATCCCCAAAAACATTCTAAAAACACACGAAAACATCCCAAAATATCTTTGATGTTTGTCTGAAATAACCCCAAAAATGCCCCAAAAATATCCCAAAACCACTCCAAAAATATCCTAAAAACCCGCAGACCCCCCAAAACCCCTCCTGACCCCCCGAATTTCACTCTGACCCCCCAAATTTCACTCTGACCCCCCAAATTTCACTGTGACCCCCCAAAATTTCACTCTGACCTCCCAAATTTCACTCTGACCCCCCAAATTTTTACTCTGACCCCCCAAATTTCACTCTGACCCCCCAAATCTTACTCTGACCCCCCAAATTTTCCCAAATTTCCCCCCCAGGTCCGTGACCTGCCCGGGCCCTCCCTGGAGCTGCTCCCAGCTGGGACCTGTGACCCCAAAACTCCCCCCAAAATCCCCCAAAATTCCCTAAACCCCCCCAGTTTTCACTCTGACCCCCCAAATTTTCCCAAATTTTGCCCCCCAGGTCCGAGACCTCCCCAGCCCTTCCCTGGAGCTGCTCCCAGCTGGGACCT